TTCTCACAAGATGATCATGAGGTACTGCAGACCTATTCTGACTGGCAGTTCTCACAAGGAGATGGTCAGGAGATACAGCAGACCTATTCTGACTGGCAGTTCTCACAAGGAGATGATCACGAGGTACAGCAGACCTATCCTGACTGGCAGTTCTCACAAGATGATCATGAGGTACTGCAGACCTATCCTGGCTGGCAGTTCTCACAAGGAGATGGTCAGGAGGTACTGCAGACCTATCCTGACTGGCAGTTCTCACAAGATGGTCAGGAGGTACTGCAGACCTATCCTGACTGGCAGTTCTCACAAGATGATCACGAGGTACAGCAGACCTATCCTGGCTGGCAGTTCTCACAAGGAGATGATCATGAGGTACTGCAGATCTATCCTGACTGGCAGTTCTCACAAGATGATCATGAGGTACTGCAGACCTATTCTGACTGGCAGTTCTCACAAGGAGATGGTCAGGAGGTACAGCAGACCTATCCTGACTGGCAGTTCTCACAAGATGATCATGAGGTACTGCAGACCTATCCTGGCTGGCAGTTCTCACAAGGAGATGATCACGAGGTACAGCAGATCTATCCTGACTGGCAGTTCTCACAAGATGATCATGAGGTACTGCAGACCTATCCTGGCTGGCAGTTCTCACAAGGAGATGGTCAGGAGGTACTGCAGACCTATCCTGACTGGCAGTTCTCACAAGATGGTCAGGAGGTACTGCAGACCTATCCTGGCTGGCAGTTCTCACAAGATGGTCAGGAGGTACTGCAGACCTATCCTGGCTGGCAGTTCTCACAAGTAGATGAAGGTCTTACCTGTGATGATCCTGGGCAGAATAGGCCATAAACGGCGACTATGCTTGTCATAAGAGGCGACTAACAGGATCGGGTGGTCAGGCTCACTGACTTGGATGATGCATGTCATCGCATCCCAATTGTGTAGATCGATGCTCATTGTATCAATCACTGGATTGTCTGGTCCAGACTCGATTTCAGACTGCCGTCATATAGCTGCCATATTGCTGTGTACAGCATTGAACAAAAAACAAACAAACAACAAACCTGATGGTCAAAGGTATAAGTTGTGTCAAATATCACAATGCACAGCAATGAATAGCATGTGTTGATGCACATGCCACATTTATACTAATTGTGAAATTTTCAAAATGGTACATGCAGAAATGACTGAGCAATGGCCACAAATGATATTTTAAATTCAGCTGACAGTCACAGACTCAATTAGACTTCAGTAAGCAGTCTTAAGAGGCATCATTGCATCAAATTCTTAAAGTGCAAGCTTCATAATCATCATAAAGTAGAACAAGGCACATGGGGATCAAATTAAAACAGGCAACAAATGGAACATATGTTATTCCACATACGACACACTTCATCATGACACATTCAGAAATGATGGACTAATGGGCAAAAATGACAGTGTTAATGATTACAATCTGCTGAGTATTCTGTGAGCATGTTCAATAGACACCATAGCTGGGATCACTGATGGAATGTTTCAATTTCATACACAGCCTTGCTCCTTCAGCACAGGTGTCGAGAATGTTAGGGCTGCTTCAGCACAGGTGTCGAGAATGTTAGGGCTGCTTTAGAACAGGTGTCGAGAATGTTAACGCTGCTTCAGAACAGGTGTCGAGAATGTTAGGGCTGCTTCAGAACAGGTGTCGAGAATGTTAACGCTGCTTCAGAACAGGTGACGAGAATGTTAACGCTGCTTCAGAACAGGTGTCGAGAATGTTAAAGGGGCACTGATCTAATGCATTTCCCCGGACTGGTTGTTGCCTTTGTTATTGTTTTTTCCCAGTGAGTACCCGGATGTATAGCAGAAATCTAGACTAGTTCTCGACCTCTGCTGCGCCATTCGTAAGCGCATTAGTCACTTTTATGGGAAGTAATAATGGCGTATCGTCACATTGATCAATCAAATGAAATACAGTTTTCGAGATAATAAGGAAATGTAGGTATCTTTGTGGGTAGCATCAGTAAAGGTGACGAAGTTTTGATAAGTCACTAGCTTGGTAATTTTGCAATTTTCGTTTACACTATTTTGACACAAAGTAAATATTTCACCTGAGCATTGCTTTTTTTATAGTGTGTATATTTTTTTACTGTCAAAATCTGTAACATTTTCAAATTTATTAAACGCCTAAATATCCAGTTATTTTACAAAGTGACTGAAAAACATTTTTCCATCTGTATTATCATGATAACGAATTCCAAACATGTTTGATGTTTAATGTCATCACCAAGAGACTGAAATGTTACGCTGAAAAGTACATTTCTATGTTGTTTTGCTTCTAATCCTTCATAATAATCTGTTGTGATGTTTTTAGGCCCTTTTGATCGTCTTAATCAATTTTAGTCAATGTGGACAGATTTTTCAGTCAAAATGACTGAAATATTTACACATTTTACAAATTGACGGTAATATATACACGCTTACAAAGGAAAATACTTGTGAAAACGTCTATCGCGCATTGAAGAATTTCCCAACCAAGACGTAGAGGAACAAGAACGAATCGGTTCAATGCTACAGCAAATGAAGGAAAACAAAATGCAAATACATTAATTACAACCTACCCAATTTATGTGTATAATTTTAGGCAGCTTCCTTGTTCGAGGAATGTATCCGTGAATATCTACAGAAAGGAACAATATCCCACTCGTCTGCAGCTGTACAAAGAAACTTATTCGATGTCACGTGTCTCTGTAACAATCAAGATATATATCGTTTTGGGATATTATAACCTGTGTTAGTTTCTCAACTGATCACTTAGATTGTTTCAGGTGTTTCACATACTTGTCAAGTCTCAAGGGTCGGCTGAGAAAGCCCACGTGACAACTATTTTCATAACGTCCACAGTTCCTAAAAAAATCCATTGAGTGATAGATAACAATGAGCAATCAATCCATGTATTATCAGTTAACCCTTTGAACAAAGTATGTTGTTTTTACATCAGCACTTCACGCCATGATATGAGTGTATTCCCTTTGTTTTAGTAAACCTAGACATGTAAACACTCACTTTTGACATATCCACTGTGCAAGATAACAGTGATTAATCAATCAATAATTGCTTTAGATCAGTGCCCCTTTAACGCTGCTTCAGAACGGGTGTAGAGAATGTTAATGCTGCTTCAGAACACATCAAGAATGTTAACAGTGATGAGCTACCTGGTCATGTGAGCTAAAAATATACTTAAAAAATACTTGTAATAGATAACAACAAATTGCAACAAATACCCCCAAACAATGTAAAGGCACTACATATATATGCAATGTTTATGATAACTTGTTTAAAAATATACAATGACACTGCACCAGTCAACTCTAATAATGTACACTGGCACCAACACTTGAGTGAATCAGTAGTGGTTTACAACCAAATTATCAAGACAAACACAAACAGCATGCTACAGAACAGCGAGGACAATCACAGCCTGCTGTGTTGACAGATGATGTATCAACATACATTACATGAGCTCCACATGGTCCCACCATCATGGATGCAGCCCTCAGTCTATGATACCATGGACATGATACCTAGGACGTGACACCATGATGTCCAGGACATGACATCTGGGATGTGACACCATGATGCCCAGGACATGACATCTGGGACGTGACACCATGATGCCCAGGACATGACATCTGGGACATGACACCATGATGCCCAGGACATCGAGGATGTGACACCATGATGCCCAGGACATTTAGGACGTGACACCATGATGCCCAGGACATGACATCTGGGACGTGACATCATGATGCCCAGGACATGACATCTGGGATGTGACACCATGATGCCCAGGACATCTAGGACGTGACACCATGATCCCAAGGACATCTGGGACGTGACACCATGATGCCCAGGACATGACATCTGAGACGTGACAACATGATGCCCAGGACATGACATCTGGGACATGACACCATGATGCCCAGGACATCTAGGACGTGACACCATGATGCCCAGGACATTTAGGACGTGACACCATGATGCCCAGGACATGACATCTGGGACGTGACATCATGATGCCCAGGACATGACATCTGGGACGTGACACCATGATGCCCAGGACATGATATCTAGGACGTGACACCATGATGCCCAGGACATCTAGGACGTGACACAAGGATGCCCAGGACATGACATCTGGGCCATGACACCATGATGCCCAGGACGTGACATCTGGGATGTGACACCATGATGCCCAGGACATCTAGGATGTGACACCATGATGCCCAGGACATCTAGGACATGACACCATGATGCCCAGGACATGACATCTGGGACGTGACACCATGATGCCCAGGACATCTAGGACGTGACACCATGATGCCCAGGACATGACATCTGGGATGTGACACCATGATGCCCAGGACATGACATCTGGGACGTGACACCATGATGCCCAGGACATGACATCTAGGAGGTGACACCATGATGCCCAGGACATGACATCTGGGACGTGACACCATGATGCCCAGGACATCTAGGACGTGACACCATGATGCCCAGGACATGACATCTGGAACGTGACACCATGATGCCCAGGACATGCTATCTAGGAGGTGACACCATGATGCCCAGGACATGACATCTGGGACGTGACACTATGATGCCCAGGACATGCTATCTAGGAGGTGACACCATGATGCCCAGGACATGACATCTGGGACGTGACACCATGATGCCCAGGACATCTAGGACGTGACACCATGATGCCCAGGACATGACATCTGGGATGTGACACCATGATGCCCAGGACATGACATCTGGGACGTGACACCATGATGCCCAGGACATGACATCTGGGACGTGACACCATGATGCCCAGGACATGACATCTGGGACGTGACACCATGATGCCCAGGACATCTAGGACGTGACACCATGATGCCCAGGACATGACATCTGGAACGTGACACCATGATGCCCAGGACATTATATCTAGGAGGTGACACCATGATGCCCAGGACATCTAGGAGGTGACACTATGATGTCCAGGACATCTAGAACGTGACACTTTGACGCTTAAGACATGACATCGAGGACGTGACACAATGACGCTTAAGACATGACATCTAGAATGTGACACTATGATGCTTAAGACATGACATCTAGAATGTGACACTATGATGCTTAAGACATGACATCTAGAATGTGACTCTATGACGCTTAAGACATGACATCTAGAATGTGACTCTATGACGCTTAAGAAATGACATCTAGAATGTGACTCTATGACGCTTAAGACATGACATCTAGAATATGACTCTATGACGCTTAAAACATGACATCTAGAATGTGACTCTATGACGCATCTTGGATGGAAGTATGACATAACTTTACAACATATCCGCCTTGCAGTTCAATACACTTGGTCCATCCCTTCTCTAGCTCAGTTATCCCGGTTTTGTATCAGGTCAAATCTGAGTCTGTCAACCAGCAACTGTCTTTGCTGTCCCAAATGTGGCAATATATTCCTGAGTGGTTCTGATAGCTTTCAACTTCTTGGTGTTGATAGTGGGTGATGGACAGTGAAGTGGTTCATCACCCTCACATATTTACAAGGCTAGTCCCTGAGCATGGCTGGATGTGTGGTTATCAGGATGGGGAAGAATGACCGTGAAGTGGCACATCACCCTCTCATGTTTACAAGGCGATACCCTGAGCGTGGCTGGGTATGTGGTTATCTGGATGGGGAAGAAAGACTGTGAAGTGGCACATCACCCCTCGTGTTTATAAGGTGATACCCTGAGCATGGCTGGGTGTATGGTGTTACTAGTTTTGGAAGAATGACTGTGAAGTGGCCCATCTCCCCTCATGTTTACAAGGTGACATCCAGGGTGTGGCTGGGTGCTTTACGCAGACGGATCATGAAGAAGGACCAGGACAGCAACTGTAAGCATCCCATGACGACAGGCAGGAAGCAGGCCAGATGGAACATGACCTCTTTCAGCTGGGAGGAGTCCACAGAGGTCAGGTGCCCTTTCTTTAAGAGCTGGTACCCGTACATGTTGAGCACCATCACAATGAACATGGGACACAGAGACTGGGCTGGTTTTACCACCAGGGCATTTGTCCCGAAGATCATGGAGGACATCGGATGTCTGAAACATAATGGCAAACAATGCATACATCAAACATCAAACTTTCCGGAATAATAAATTATCCTTCAATAGCTCATGACACGATCAGAGCATGCATGGTCTACACGGAGGGTCTACATGGATGGTCTACATGGATTGTCTACATGGATGGTCTACATGTATGGTCTACATGGATGGTCTAAATGGAACATCTACATCGATTGTCTACATGGTCTACATGGATGGTCCAAAGGGACCGTCTACATGGATTGTCTACTGGGATTGTCAAAATGGATGGTCTACATGGAGGGTCTTCATCGATGGTCTAAATGGAACATCTACATCGATTGTCTACATGGTCTACATGGATAGTCTAAATGGATGGTCTACAAGAAGGGTCTTCATGGAGGGTCTACATGGAGGGTCTACATGGAGGGTCTAAATGGATTGTCAACATGGTCTACATGGATAGTCTAATTGGATTGTCTACATGGTCTACATGAATTGTCTACATGTATGGTCTACCTAGATGATCTACTGGGATTATAGCATCACTTTGACTTGAATTCATTTTAATATTGCTTTTTACAGCAATATCAGGGGTACCAGAAATTAGCCTTTTAATTCATCTCCAAAAGGTTTCCAACCTAACAATAACTAGTTTACCAGCAGCATTCCATAACCTAATACATCAGAGACAAAAACGACTGTAAAATCAAACCTTGCTCAGTGCTGTCCTGTCACATAAATGTGAACAGCACATGAACAGTCATCCACTTCCTGTCATGCCCACAGGCAAATGTGTACAGTACATAAACACAGTCATCCACTTCCTGTCATGCCCACAGACAAATGTGTACAGCACATAAACACATTCATCCAGCGCCTGTCATGCCCACAGACAAATGTGAACAACACTTAAACAGTCATCCACTTCCTGTCATGCTCACAGACAAATGTGTACAGTACATGAATTAAGATGCCTACTTCCTGTCATGCCCACAACTTACTTCCTGTTGTAGCGCTCCATGTTAGAGTCGGCAATGTACGAGAGAGGCAGGTTGAAGAATGAGCAGGCCAGGTTGGTGTATGCACTGCAAAAAATACAGCATATTGTGAGATAAATGTGATAATAGCAGGGCGTACAGGATTTACAGGATGAACATAAGAGAAAAGGTTTGTTTGTTTGTTGTTTGACGTCACATTCAGCAATATTTCAGCTATATGATGGCAACCCGTAAATAGCTGGACCAGACAATTTAGTGATCGATAATGTGAACAAGGATCCATGGCGTTGGGGTAAGATGATACATCATCAACCAATTCTATAAGACAAGGTCGAATCAGTCGCCTCTTACACCAGAATTGGTTGTGTGTGGGCCTATTCAAACCGGGGATAAGATGTCATGTTATCAACCAACTCTTTAAGACAAGGTCCATTCAGTCGCCTTTTACACCAGAATTGGTTGTGTGTGGGCCTATTCAAACCGGGGATAAGATGACACGTTATCAACCAACTCTTTAAGACAAGGTCCATTCAGTCGCCTCTTACACCAGAATTGGTTGTGTGGGGGCCTATTCAAACCGGGGATAAGATGACATGTTATCAACCAACTCTTTAAGACAAGGTCCATTCAGTCGCCTCTTACACCAGAATTGGTTGTGTGGGGGCCTATTCAAACCTGGGGTGAGGAGGTGTACACAAACCTTTAGCTTTGTACCCTCAGCAGACTCATGTGGAAAATATGGAAAGGATCACAATGTTGTGAGAAGCAGATTATGTCACCGGACTTACAATCCAATCCTCATCAGTTGGCTCTTACAAGAGACTTGGGATACATGGGCCTCAGAATTGTGCCTTTCTGTTTATGCTCTTCTTTAAGTACATGTTTATGGAAATATTAAGTGGCCTATTTCAGAATATGCCCTTCTTCCCACACACACCTTTTGACTTGTATGGGATTTTACTACATGACAACAAGTCAATCAGATGCTATTTTCTTATTAAGGGTGAATGGACTATTATTAATTTTTTCTGGGGTTTCTTCAGTTGAAAAGCCTATATGTTAGGATTAACTTACATCTCCACATGTTTGTTAACCCTGAAACAGCCATCCTAACACACCACATCAACACCAAGACATGACAAATTCTACCAGCCCTGAGAATGCCCAAAACATTAAGGAACCCTGCCCATGCCTGAAGCAGACTTGTTCTAATGTCCCTGCTTTGAAACATTACCATCCCAACACTATTAGCAAGCACGTTATCTCGAATACTTTCACCTTTTGGAACTTGTCCTGAATAATTTACAAGATTAGACATACCAATGCCACACACCATTAAGCAAAACACAATTTTTCTGGGCACTTTAGAAAACATTACTCCAGACGGTTAATAGAAAACCCTACTATCTATTGTGATGTACATACGTTGTGCTCACTGTGCAATAAATACAAATCTGAAAACACGGCTCATTATTCCGCCACCTCGTTCAGTTGGCAACTGGAGCTGTTTCATGATGTTATCATATTCCTCTTTTTTTACCACACAGATTGCACCGAGCTGCAGCGATGTGCAGTCAGCCAGACAAGACACATGTCAATGAGTGAACAACAATCAATAACATCACACTAGGCTTCTCACCATGCAAGACTCAGTGTGGGCCACACACTAGAGCAGGTAACAGAAACTCTATCAGTAATGTAACAGATGTGATACACTATCAGCCTCTGTATTGCTTAGTTTATAATGAATAGAAATAACTTGTAATTCTGAGATACCGTATTCGACGTAGTAAGCGGCCCACTCTAATAATCGCCCACGGCGATATTTGCTAATATATTGGCAAGTGAACAATCCCAATTAGCACCCCTTCCGATTGATCAAAGTACACAAGACTTATTTTTTCGTGTATAATACGCACTCGTGTGTTATACTCACCCTTAATTATGGGCAATTAAATTCTGGAAAAATATATCTGTCGTATATAAACAGTTCAGGCCGTCAGCATAAACCACAAAATTTATCTTTCAACTCTGTTTTTTCCACCAAAATAATATTCTAATAAGAGCCCCCTATTCCTAACTTTGAGAGAGCCCTGGGCGCTTATTACGTCGAATACGGTAATACACTGTACATGTGATCTACTGAGGAAAGCGTGTTTTAACGTCATGTTCAAGATTATTACTAGTGCCTGGATCTGTGCACACAAAATAAACTCTCAGCTCCCTGAGGAGTATACAATCAGTTAGGAAATCTAAAACATGCGCTGATAGCATGTACAGTGACGTTTATGGGGACATTGGATGTGTGGAGGTTAGGGCTGTAGTATTTTAGTCCAGGGTCTCTCTAAATCTATTCTTCTTGACATAAGGTGCATGGCAAGGTCCCCAGGGCGTGCATCCTTTGTATCAATCACTGATAGTGCTGTTGTAGATTATATTGGTTTCACACTATTTGATGTCCACCTGAAAGAGCATATGTTTAATGTCCAGCTTGCAGTGAGTGAGTGAGTGTGAGAGTTTGGTTTAGCAATATTCCAGCAATATCACGGCAGGGAACACCAGAAATGGGCTTCACACATTGTACCCATGTCGGGATTCGAACCCGGGTCTTCGGCGTGACGAGCGAACGCTTTAACCACTAGGCTACCCGACTGCCCCCCAGCTTGCAGTGATTACATACTGATTTCATTATTCACAAGCACTAGGGCTGTATGACACTGCTATCTGTAAGTGCTGTGGAGGCTGTTGTGGGTATGGATGTGGTGGTTGTCGGTGGCAGCAGTCACTGCAGTCCTCGTAAAAGGGTTAGGGCTGCTAGTGGCATTTAGAGTTATCTGTCCCTGTTTTTTTACAAACATGGCAGGCTTGATTGTTCAAGAGGTTTCAGGATGGGGCAGTTTCTAGAAAGCTGGTTGTACTGATAAAAGAGTGACAAAAGGGCTATTCAAGGCCTTTTTCTGCCTAATTTACATCTCATCTATTTGCCCAGTGAGTTGGATACATATCTCAACAAACCGATTCATGACTGGAGACAAGCCTGTTTCAAGCCAGTGACAATATTCTGGACATTCGTGAGTCAACTGGGCTTGACACTTATGGCTGCGGTCAATTATTTGACCCATTGTATTGCCCCTTTGATTGTGAAAATAAAACTCTGTGTTTCAATACAACTTATTGATTGTACACTGATGGTCATTTACTGATTTCACATTCTAGTTTAGTATGAACCGATTTCTCGGTTAACTTTTGTGGCTCAATTTGGAAATCACCATGTAACAAGACTTTGATATATACATACATATATTGATATATTGATAAACTGATATTGACAATACGATACTCCATGAAACTCAATTCTTGTCACACTAGACAACATATACATTATCAATGGGAATGAACAGAAACTTGCCAAAACATGTTCCCAAGATTTGTGTTCATTAATGATAAAGGGCTTGCCAGTGAATACTACCACCTGGAGCTCTATTCCTCACTGTCTTGTCAATCCTTGTCTATGCGTCAACAGTATTTCACATTTCCCAGCAAGTCAGCTTGATGTACGAGGAAAGCAGGAAGTGCCGAAGGTCTTAGACGTTTACCAGGTTGGTAAAACCCCGGACCACAGGTGGGATGCTTACAACTTCGGAACATAATCAGGGTAAACCAAGATTTGAACCTATGATCATCAGTTTCAGGAGGTGGAACAAGAGGAAGAGAGAGATGCAGACAGCAGTAGAAACTAACATCTTTAGCCCAGTCCTTATAATGTTAACATATAGCAAAACCCTTAAACAAACAAACTTCTTTTAATCCTTATGATACTTGAACTATTGTACAATTTGGCAAGGACTACAGGACTAGTGCAGAGTAAGATGAAGAGAGAGATGAAGAGCAAGGAGAAGACTGACCTGTCAGCAAGAAGGAACAGGATCAGCAGCCAGGGATGAGCTTGACCTATGAACGCCATGGTCAGTCCAGATACTATTTTCCACACAAAGTTTCCACGGATGACACTGAAGTAGCCCAGCCTGTCCACCAGTGGGGCACCGATTATGACGAGTAACTGAAAACAGTGGAATACATATAGAGAATACAGCACTCATTCCTGATAGATGTCATTTTTCATGAAACTCTATGGTATCTGATTGAGCCAAAGCGAGGTCAGATACCCTAGGAAGTCCATGAGATCCATAATAATGGTACCTTATGAGAATGAGTGTGGTATTTTATTCATTACCAATGTTAAATATGTATTTAAGTTTAAATATGCGCCCAAACATGGGCATTTCTATGCATATGTGTTAACAACATGTTCCTGCTGATGTGTGTGCTAACATGACAGCAGCAATACTCAAGATTTTATTTGAGAATTTCATAATTTTATGGTACTTCAAGGCCATTGTTGTTATACACAGGACAACTACAAGAAAACTTAAAAGACAAACAGCACCGTGCTTTGAATCTCTTACCAACATTCCGTCACTTGTACGGCCGTGATCTATGAGCTGAATTTATATCCTGCCCGTAACATTTAAGAGTGCTCGCCAAAGACATTAATTTACTGTACGACCCTATTCTGAAGAAGTGAAAATTAAATGGAGTCTAGTTGCTTATCAGTGACAGCTTCAAGGGCAAGGTCAGCATCAATGTAAGAAAAGACAACCGCGATCTACACACAGTGGTTTTCACTAGAGATCAGTAGGGCAGGTTATTGTTCAAATTTCGGATGTTTGAGGCCACAAAATGAGAAGTCAGGCACACTTCCACAGATTTTTAAAATGATCTGTAGCAGAACTGTTCACATTTGTGATCTGATTGTGCAGTTGTGTACATTTGTTCATAAACAGTCACCTTCGGAAACAGTGCCAGAACGTATGCCTGGAAGGGGACGCTGATGGCAAAATCAAAGCATCCAACATAAGTCCAGACATCAGCCCAAGTAGTCTCACCCTGACTTGATTTCACCACAGTTACCTTTTCACGTCCAATCAAATTGAAAGTGGCAGGGTGCTTCACACTCATAGGGACACCGAACTATTGTAGTCGTACATGGCAATGGACATAGCTGCATATTATAATGCCTATAGTAGATCTATGTATAACTAGTATTGAATGAAAAGCCATTTTGACGCATGTGACTATCATGTTTGGTATAATAAATTGCTTGTAAACATCTTTGTTTTCATGAGATTCCTTCTGTTCTGTCTCGGATTAGAAAATCGTTTTGTAATAGTGAATGATGTCTTATGATCTTTGTGAATGAAAAAAGTAGTTCCTGTGCAACAGATGTCACGATTCCAGTCAAAACAAATAACACCAAAGTCCACCTTGTACGACACAAGTATGATGTATGGATTTAGTATTGTATTTTCACCACGTCACTAATAAATGTGTCCTACCGACCAGAATGAACTGCAGTATATGCCAGCCACCCACATCTGGTAGATTTACCCGAGTTCATATACTTTCAAATCTCAGGGAAGCTCAGTTATAATTTGGGAGGGTCCAAGGCAAGAACATGGGGTCATGGATGTCATATCATTGCATGCTCAGAAGCCTCGAGCTTAGTATTCATGGGGATTTCAATGTCAGATTGGAGAAAATAAATTTCTTACCAGTATAGAATTGTCATTTATATGTAACTTTGATGTTTAAATCACCAGGACCAGCAATAGAAATTATTTGCGTCCATGGCCATGGGGCATATAGTACAATATTGTGCGTCACATACCGGTGCATCCCTGACATCTGCCATACAGCACTGAACATGTTGCATATTACATGTCACTTTTTTGTCAGACAATCTACATCTGTCATGTGGTTCTCATTCAGTGTCCATTCTTATCACCAATTCCTACCTCACAAACTGAAAACAATTTAAGTTGGATTCCTGGTTCTTACGCATTTAGATTGTGTAGAGATCAGGGATGACAATTCTCGCTGGAGGTCCCATGGGATGCTGGTTGCAATTACCTCCACAGTAGCATGTGCAGAATGCATGGTAGATTTACCTGATAACTCCATCATGTCGAGACTGACGAGCAATGGAATCAATACACTCAAAGTTCAGTCAGTCCATTCTTCAGTGAGTCAAGACAATTTGTTTCCAAATATAATCAGCTCAGGGTTTCAGACTGGGTAGGACTCCCAGGGTTTCAAACTGGGCAGGATTCTTGGGGTTTCAAACAGGCTGGGACTATCGGGGCTTCAGACAGCGACTCTCAGGGTTTCAGACAGGGCGGGACTCTCAGGGTTTCAGACGGGGTGGGATTCTCAGGGTTTCAAACAGGGTGGGATTCTCAGGGTTTCAGACAGGGCAGGACACTCATGGTTTCATACAGGGCAGGACTCTCAGGGTTTCAGACAGGGGGGAGCTCTCAGGGATTAAGACAGGGTGTGACTCTCAGGGTTTCGGACAGGGCGGGACTCTCAGGGTTTCGGACAGGATGGGACACTCAGGGTTTCAGACAGGATGGGACACTCTGTTTTAGACAGGATGGGACACTCTGTTTTAGACAGGGCGGGTCTCCCAGGGTTCCAGACAGCAACTCTCAGGGTTTCAGACGGTGGGACACTCTGGGTTTCAGACAGGGTGAAGCTCTCAGGGATTCAGACAGGGCGGAACTCTCAAGGTTTCAGACAGGGCAGGTCTCTTAGGGTTTCAGACAGGGTGAAGCTCTCACGGATTCAGACAGGGTGAAGCTCTCAGGGATTCAGACAGGGTGAAGCTCTCAGGGATTCAGACAGGGTGAAGCTTTCAGGGATTCAGACAGGGTGAAGCTCTCAGGGATTCAGACAGGGTGAAGCTCTCAGGGATTCAGACAGGGTGAAGCTCTCAGGGATTCAGACAGGGTGAAGCTCTCAGGGATTCAGACAGGGTGGGACTGTGTCATGCCTAGGACCACAATAAACTATTTGTGAGTACCAGACAGACCCAGGTTTTGTTTGTTTGTTGTGCCACACTCAGCAAAAATCCAGTTATGTTACGGAGGTCTGTAAATAATCAAGTCTGGACCAGACAATCCAGTGATTGATTTGAGCATTGATCTATACAATTGGGATACGATGACATGCATCAACCAAGTCAGCAAGCCCTACCACCAAACGCAGCTCATCGCCTCTCACAACAAGCATAGTCGCCTTTTACGACAAGCATAGGTTGCTGAAGACCTATTCTACCCCGGATCTTCACAGGTGGACAGACCCAGGTATCAGTAAATTAGGACAGGATTGAGTCAGGCTGAGTAAAACTGTCAGTGCCCACAACGTACAGTGTACATATACTGGTAGTTTTCAACATGTTTTCCAATGCTATACTAGCCTACTTACTGAGTGTATAAGTGATGTTTTCCAATGCTATACTAGCCTACTTAGTGAGTGTATTGGTGATGTTTTCCAATGCTATACTAGCCTAATTACTTGGTGTATTGGTGATGTTTTCCAGTGCTGTACTAGCCGACTCACAAAGTGTATTGGTGATGTTTTCCAGTGCTACACTATCCTACTTACTAAGTGTATTGGTGATGTTTTACAATGCTATACTAGCCTACTTACTGAGTGTATTGGTGATGTTTTCCAGTGCTATACTAGCTGACTCACTAAGTGTATTGGTGATGTTTTCCAATGCTATACTAGCCTACTGACTGAGTGTATTGGTGATGTTTTCCAATGCTATACTAGCCTACTCACTAAGTGTATTGGTGATGTTTTCCAATGCTATACTAGCCTACTGACTGAGTGTATTGGTGATGTTTTCCAATGCTATACTAGCCTACTGACTGAGTGTATTGGTGATGTTTTCCAATGCTATACTAGCCTACTTACTGAGTGTATTGGTGATGTTTTTCAATGCTATACTAGCCTACTGACTGAGTGTATTGGTGATGTTTTCCAATGCTATACTAGCCTACTCACTAAGTGTATTGGTGATGTTTTTCAATGCTATATGAGCCTACTTACTGAGTGTATTGGTGATGTTTTCCAATGCTATACTAGCCTACTGACTGAGTGTATTGGTGATGTTTTCCAATGCTATACTAGCCTACTCACTAAGTGTATTGGTGATGTTTTTCAATGCTATATGAGCCTACTTACTGAGTGTATTGGTGATGTTTTCCAATGCTATACTAGCCTACTGACTGAGTCTATTGGTGATGTTTTACAATGCTATACTAGCCTACTTACTGAGTGTATTGGTGATGTTTTCCAGTGCTATACTAGCTGACTCACTAAGTGTATTGGTGATGTTTTCCAATGCTATACTAGCCTACTGACTGAGTGTATTGGTGATGTTTTCCAATGCTATACTAGCCTACTCACTAAGTGTATTGGTGATGTTTTCCAATGCTATACTAGCCTACTGACTGAGTGTATTGGTGATGTTTTCCAATGCTATACTAGCCTACTGACTGAGTGTATTGGTGATGTTTTCCAATGCTATACTAGCCTACTTACTGAGTGTATTGGTGATGTTTTTCAATGCTATACTAGCCTACTGACTGAGTGTATTGGTGATGTTTTCCAATGCTATACTAGCCTACTCACTAAGTGTATTGGTGATGTTTTTCAATGCTATATGAGCCTACTTACTGAGTGTATTGGTGATGTTTTCCAATGCTATACTAGCCTACTCACTAAGTGTATTGGTGATGTTTTTCAATGCTATATGAGCCTACTTACTGAGTGTATTGGTGATGTTTTTCAATGCTACATGAGCCTACTTACTAAGTTTATTGGTGATGTTTTCCAGTGCTGTACTAGCCGACTCACAAAGTGTATTGGTGATGTTTTCCAATGCTATACTAGCCTACCTACTAAGTGTATTGGTGATGTTTTCCAGTGCTACACTATCCTACTTACTGAGTGTATTGGTGATGTTTTTCAATGCTATACTAGCCTACTCACTAAGTGTATTGGTGATGTTTTTCAATGCTATATGAGCCTACTTACTGAGTGTATTGGTGATGTTTTTCAATGCTATACTATCCTACTCACTAAGTGTATTGGTGATGTTTTTCAATGCTATATGAGCCTACTTACTGAGTGTATTGGTGATGTTTTTCAATGCTATATGAGCCTACTTACTGAGTGTATTGGTGATGTTTTCCAATGCTATACTAGCCTACTGACTGAGTGTATTGGTGATGTTTTCCAATGCTATACTAGCCTACTCACTAAGTGTATTGGTGATGTTTTCCAATGCTATACTAGCCTACTTACTGAGTGTATTGGTGATGTTTTCCAGTGCTATACTAGCCTACTGACTGAGTGTATTGGTGATGTTTTCCAATGCTATACTAGCCTACTGACTGAGTGTATTGGTGATGTTTTCCAATGCTATACTAGCCTACTTACTAAGTTTATTGGTGATGTTTTCCAGTGCAATACTAGCAGACTCACTAAGTGTATTGGTGATGTTTTTCAATGCTACATGAGCCTACTTACTAAGTTTATTGGTGATGTTTTCCAATGCTGTACTAGCCGACTCACAAAGTGTATTGGTGATGTTTTCCAATGCTATACTAGCCTACTCACTAAGTGTATTGGTGATGTTTTCCAGTGCTACACTATCCTACTTACTTGGTGTATTGGTGATGTTTTCCAGTGCTGTACTAGCCGACTCACAAAGTGTATTGGTGATGTTTTCCAGTGCTATACTAGCCTACTTACTGAGTGTATTGGTGATGTTTTTCAATGCTATACTAGCCTACTTAGTGAGTGTATTGGTGATGTTTTCCAATGCTATACTAGCCTAATTACTTGGTGTACTGGTGATGTTTTCCAGTGCTGTACTAGCCGACTCACAAAGTGTATTGGTGATGTTTTCCAATGCTCTACTAGCCGACTCACTAAGTGTATTTGTGAAGTTTTTCAATGCTATACTAGCCGACTCACTAAGTGTATTGGTGATGTTTTCCAGTGCTATACTAGCCTACTTACTAAGTTTATTGGTGATGTTTTCCAGTGCAATACTAGCAGACTCACTAAGTTTATTGGTGATGTTTTTCAATGTTATACTATCCTACTAACTAAGTGTATTGGTGACGTTTTCCAATGCTATACTATCCTACTTACTGAGTGTATTGGTGATGTTTTCCAGTGCTACACTATCCCACTTACTAAGTGTATTGGTGACGTTTTCCAATGCTATACTATCCTACTTACTGAGTGTATTGGTGATGTTTTCCAGTGCTACACTATCCCACTTACTGAGTGTATTGCCGTGATGCTGCCATAAAAGATACTCCTGACATATGGATGAACATCGTCCTCACTGATGAGCTGGTCGCATATTATCACAGTAAAGCTAATAATGAAAGTTCGATGGAATTCTTGGAAAAAGTTTGTGATAACGAAGGAGAGGAAGTTCCTGTCTGTGAGGATCTGCCAAGTGAGCCTCCAGTAGGAAGTCTTATCCGCAGACTCCTTACAATCATCATCCTCCTCTTCATCCATCGCAGTCATCTTCTTCACATCGTAGTGAGTGTGTGCATGCTTCCCTGCATACACCATAAATATGGCGCTCAAAAAAGCCAGGAAGACTGTTGTCGTCTGGAACTTGGAGAAATCCTTTAAACTGTTTGAAGAAAACTCACAAAGTGTCACTGAGAAGGAACCAACGAACCCTGCTACTTGTGACATCTGCGTCAGCCGAATACGTTCACTTTCCGTTATGGCGATCTCCGTGTACAGACAGCACAGCGCCAGTCCTATGAATGTAAACATGGTGTCGTAGAGACACAAGGCCACGATGAGGTGGAGGCCAGTCAACCAGCTGGAGTACCCCCAGGGGAACCATGCCGTCAGATACGCCAGGCCAAACAGAGGCCCAGTATAGAGGATCAGTTCTCGGCGTGTGTTGGGCAGCCAAGATGCACTGGTGTCCTGACAATATGCAAACAGTGGGTCATTCACAGCATTCCACACCAGGTAGAGGATCTGTGCGAGGTGAAACCACTTCTCGTCTATGTGGTAGAGGTTGAGAAACACCTTCACATAATAGAAGGAGAAGGTGGAAGACAGCAACGTGAAACCAAATGATGCTGCACAGTATGCCAACATCCGATTCCGTAGACTGGTCGTTGACATGCTGCCACTAGCTGGAACACAAACAGGAGACAGTGATTACCATTGGCTGGACATATTATACTCTGGCCGGGGTGGGGGTTATTTGTGGGATGTTTGGTTCAAACAGAATATATTTTTACAAAAATAATTCCCCAAAACTTTTAGTTGGTTCTGTTTACCCTCAGTTGTTTAAGCAAGCAGTTGATACATATTCCTGAAATAGGTCACATATCAGGGGCTTACGATACAGCTATGACATACTCGAAAGCAAATGTTAAGCTCTTGTGTTAATTCTAAGCACATGCATTATGAATGTACCAGGTACAATGATCAAATCTCATAAAATGCACATAATGTATGAACATAATGGCTAGTTCAAATGCAGCACATATATTCAAGACCCTTGAAGATCCGGGGTAAAATAGGTCTTCAGCAACCCATGCGACTATGCCTGTGGTAAGAGGCGACTAAGGGGATCAGGTGGGCAGGTTCGCTGACTAAGTTGATGCATGTCATCGTATCCCAATTGCGAGGATTGATGCTCATGATATCATTCAACGTTTGTCTGGTCCAGACTCAAATATTTACAGACCGCCGTCATATAGCTGGAACATTGCCGAGTGCGGTGTTAAACTACAACTAGAGTCATCAGAAAGATGACATATCCCCCCCGGCAGCTGTCTGTAAAGTAACCACAAGTAAATGTGCAATTCTGTATGTAATGAGTCAAGAGTTGAAAGTTCTTTAAGAAGCATACATTGTTTACCAACAAAAGATCCACCATGGTCGCATCCATATGAAATGGAAAGTAAAACATGTGTTTCTGTGGGGTTTTTTTATGCACACAAATGACAAATTACAAGAAACAAGCGTATAGTCAACGAAGACATCTATATCCCCCACCCATTTTAACACGTTATGGTCCCAAAACAGGTAACTGACCCAACATTTCTCTTAGCCCATGTCAAAATAGCTGCAATGGAAATTCTAAAATAAACATTTCTAAAACTCCTTAATATCAAATGGCACCTGTTTAGTATGTACTTTATATATGGACATGCAATGTTTGGCAAGGAAATATTTAACAGTTTATTTGTTATACTCCATAAGTGAACCCACCCTATATGAAAACTTAAATCCAACTTGTTGCCATTGAAACGTAAAAAATAAAAAAATAAAAATTCCTAAATAGCAAAAGGCACCAGTTCAGTATGTGCCTGGCAGACATGCAAAGTTTTGTAAGAAAGTATTTAACAGTTTTTGACTTACGCTCCAGAAACGAACACCACCCCTATAGAACCTAAGTCCAACTGGTTGCCATGGAAACGTAAAAAATAAATATAAAACATTTTCCTAAATAGCAAAAGGCACCAGTTCAGTATGTCCCTGGTAGACATGCAAAGTTTTGTAAGAAAGTATTTAACGGTTTTTGAGTTATGCTCCGGAAACGAACACCACTCTTATAGAACCTAAGTCCAACTTGTTACCATGGAAACGTAAAAAATAAAAATTTCTAAAATTCCTAAATAGCAAAAGGCACAACTTCAGTATGTGACTGATAGATATGCCAAGTTTCGATGAAATACACTGAATTATTTTCGAGTTCTGCCCCGGAAAAGGAAATGATTACGGACGGACGGACAGACGGACAGACAGACTGGCTGATCGCTATATCCCCCCGCATTATATGCAGGGGGGATAAAAATTAATGAATACTGAAGCACAAATTTGTTACAGATTCTCGGGTCATACGAATTCACCAAATGTTTCGTACAGCTTATTTGTGTTGCATTTATTTTCATATATTTTTTAATCAATTTATTTTCAGGCTGTATTTGAAAACTGATTAAAATGTTACTATGACTCTGTATTTTAAGTCGAATATTAAATGCACTCGCAACTGGACATTCATTACAAATAATGGCACTCGCCAGCTTTCCTGTGTTGTACATTATTTGTAACGAATGTCCATTTACTTATGTGTTATCCTTGATATGGTATCTCTCATACCACACATATCCTGTTTCATATACAATATACATCCTGTCTCATACAACACACATCCTGTTTCATATACAATATACATCCTGTCTCATACAACACACATCCTGTTTCATATACAATATACATCCTGTCTCATACAACACACATCCTGTTTCATATACAATATACATCCTGTCTCATACAACACACATCCTCTCTATACCACACACATTAGGGCTGGGACGGGTAATTCGGGTACTCGGGTCGGGTGGGTACTGAGAATGACCCGGGTACCCACAGGACTACACAGATGAGTGGTTAGTCATGTGATATAATGTTTAATGACAAAAATTATCTGGAACTCTATGGTTACACTACAAGTCACTAATGTTTGCATTTCTTTCTGACTATGCCCCCATTCCTTCTGAATTTTACTTTTGAATAAAGATAAAACTTTAGTCAACTTCAGTGCTTGCATGACCAGACCCTTTTATACGTGTATATATATAAATACATTCTGTCCAGGGCTACGGTCAAACTATTCCGAATCAGACATTTTGTACCCACCTCTTGAGACCTACAGCAGGTACCTGGGTAGGGTCGGGTAATAGGGGGGTTGGTACCAAGGTAGTAAATTTGGACTGGTCCCAGCTCTAATACACATCCCCTCTAATAAAATATACATCCTCTCTCATACAACACACATCCAAACACATGTGGTAGGAGTGACACAAATGGTCAATTTGCTCTCATAAATCATTAATCTGCTCTTTCTGTGAACTGCAAAACCTCCATTCTGACACAGGGGGTCATCAGTGAAATATTCACGGCCCCGCACGCAGTACTACTCCTGTTCCACACTGATACGTGTACATCATGAGACTCCCTACCTAAATGTAGGCTGCTATAAAAGTACTATCTGCCCTAACCTGTTACAGCATGTACATACTTACTCTGAATTGTTTGATAGGCATAACTTAGAAGATGACGGATGACAAAGTAGACACTAGAGCTGTGACGAGTCCAAATTTACTACCCGGGTACCTGCCCCCCTCTTACCCTACCCTACCCTACCCTACCCGACCCTACCCGGATACCCACTCTTGGTCTCAGGAGATGTCTCAAAATGTCCGATTGGGATATTTTTTAGCATAGCCCTGGCAAAACGTATTTAGATACATGTATTAAACAATCTGGTCATGCATACACTGAAGTTGACTTAAGTTATATGTTTATTCAACCATATGAAAAGTCAGAAGGAATGGGTGCATAGTCAGAAAGAAAAGCGAACATTAATGACTTGTAGTGTAACCATAGAGTTCCAGATAATTTCAGTCATTAGACAATGTATCACGTGACTAACCACGGGTCCGGGTAGTCCTGTGGGTACCCGGGTCCTACTCAGTACCCACTCGACCCAGGTACCCGAGTTGCCCGTCCCAGCCCTAGTAGACACAGTTTATGGATAACAACTTCTTTAAAACTGTAAAGGCGAGGTTAAGGTATAGATCCTTGACAAACAAGCAAGACAACGGTATAAGGATCTGTACCGAAACGTCGCCTTTACAGTATCAAAGAAGTTGTTATCCATAAATTGTGTCTACTTTGTACAGTTACTCTGTTCCTGAATTTGTAACAAATGGAAACTGATTGTAAAATCATTGTAACAGCTGGTTGGAAGACTATGTGTTAAATAGGAAATGCATCTGTCGTTCATTATTATTTATCCAAGGGACATGCATGATTGAAGGAAAAATATAAATTTCCTAACTCACACATTCTAACTTTGATCTATCAGCTTTATCTAATTGCCAAAAGCAACAGTGTTGTCAGTTGATTAATGCAACACTCAGCAACGTTCCAGCTGTATGTCAGCAGTATTTAAACAAACAAATCTAGAGCTACAGTGACACGCCCCAGATTGGCGCTCGATCTTGTAGCCCGGAAAAGATTAACAGTGATGCAGTGTCTATAGCCCCTGTCGCTGGGATATAGCGCGGTGCTGACCCAAGGCCTGGAAACACATGGTGATTGAAAACAGGACAATTCAAACTTTCCTACCGTACATATTTGTGATATGGGCTGCTTCTTCTGTTGCGGTCCTTTACGATAAATGACACTCATATTATGTGTGTCAGCCTGACGCCCTGACCTACCTGTAGTTTGTGATCAGCCCGACTGAACAAGACGGTAGGAAGGAAGCCTGGCGAATAATATTTACATGTTCACGTATTGGAACGTGACATGCCGACAAACAGTCGGAAGTGATCGGTCGTCTCCGTGAGTCGGAGGTTCCGATTGAGCCGATTATGTTTTGCCCAGAAAGTATCACACGTGCAAGGCAAGTATGGGGACCAGAGGACCCCGTTGTCTGTTGCGGCGGAAAAATACCAACACACCCAACTTTAACACGGTTGTGTGGGAACGGCACAGTGACAGCCAGGGAATCAGTTTATGGGCAAAGCTGCGCATCAATGAGTTACTATGTATGAGTGGAACATACCTAGGGGGAGTGTGTGAGCTACAATTTACATCTATTACCAGTAACGAACAGAAGCCCAGTCAAGCAGGGAGTTGCACGATATATCACATATAGCACGGAACTTTTTTTAAGCGAAAGTCACATGCATATTCATGGTCCTAACCACCCTTCGAGGTCTAGCAAATTTATATGCATAGATTTCGTTGAAAAATCCTGTCTATAAAGAAATAGGACTGACTGACTGACTGAGTATGGTTTTACGCCGCTACTTAGCAATATTCCAGCAATATCACGGCGGGGGACACCAGAAATGGGCTTCACACATTGTACCCATGTCGGGAATCGAACCCAGGTCTTCGGCGTGACGAGAGAACGCTTTAACCACTAGCTAGGCTACCCGACCGCCCCTATAAAGAAATAGGAAGCATCCATTGATATCACAACTGAATTTTAGACACGAAATTAGGTTGTTGATGATTGCATATCGATCATGATGTTACTGATATAACCAACTCTACATTGCTTTATGCCACTATTACTTTTGTGTATCAAAATATAAATTAATGACATAATTTAATATTAATTTTGTACACCAATAATTATATGGTGATTTTAGAAAATCGATTTTGTTTTGTCAATAATTATTCAAATATAAATGATTTTTTTTAAATATCATGAGTGTTTGTGTTGCACTGACAGGTGTAACATGAATTCTGACATGCGTTTCGATCCACTCACCTCCATCCTAATATAAGCCACGCCCACAGCCTAAGCCACGCCCACTCGGACAAGCACCCGTGCCTGTATATTGAGGGTCTTTTAAGTTGTTCATTATTTAGGATTTCGCTAACACATTATCACATTGCAACCCTCGAAAAAAATATGTATTATACGAATATTATACGAACATATTGTTGACATTTCTGTTGTGATCCAGTATATAATTCTGTTGATAAATGCCTTATAAGCAACACGTATTGAATGAGGCCGCTTTATACGGCGAATACGGTAAATCCAATAGATACTCGACATATAGTCAATATCACCTATTCCATCTTGTTTATTTCAACATGTTTTAAATATATTTGTTTTAATTTAGTTTAGACATGACATAACTATTTGAAAACATTGAGGTTTGTTGTAGTTACTGGGTACATCCGCAATGCACTCTGAATGGTGTATCAAATTAAGTAAAATCCAAATTCAGGCTCACATTTAATAAAAATCAGTATATTGTAATGATGAAAAAATACTCCAGCAACACATTTCAGATTAAAATATTTGGTTTTACAATGTACTTCTGCCATCAGTTACTTCTGATTGTCATTGTGAAAATGATGTAGTTGAAATCAGATATGTTCATTGCACTGAGAGAGTCAAATGTCTTCAAGAAAACAACCATAGACACTTCAACTATGAGAAAAGTGATTTAAGGGAGGCAATTGGTAGTTGGACATTTAGACGATTCTATTAACTATTTATAGGACATTCTTCCGTATTTTTACCAAATTTGAAATAAAATCCTTCCTCTAGAAGTGGTGTTTGCTCGTCGCTATATGGCTGACATAATACCTATGCGACGTTATAGGAAGTGGGTTCATATAAGTAAGGGAACAACACGGATTCATGTCTGTTTTGGAGACGTTTCAATTGGTAATAGGTAAACGGAGGGGGGAGGGGGGGGGGGGGGGGGGGGGGGCACAGTGTGTTGCCAAATCGCTAGCTAGGTCACCAGATGGTCACAGATAAAGGCGTCGATGTTGAAGTGGACTGTCACAGATACAGCATGTAGATAGATATATATGTTGACGAATGATGCACACACTTTCGGCTGGGTTAAATCTTGTGACCAATGGTATATCAGAACGAAGTCCAGCCATCCACTCAGGTGCAAACTGAATAAAACAGCCTGGCATCAAAACGACTCACAAAACACTCTGAGCGGACACACCATGTCCAAACGTGGCCATGACACCAAAACAAACACACAGATAACTTGAAGACAACCAATACAAGAACAACCACTCTAGGAATAAATACTGTCACATAGTTTCTTATAATCCAAGATAATTTCAGGAAGCATTCCATCAAACTCATTGAACACGGCAGCATCCCTGCTTCTTTTGTTCCCGAAGCTCCCGTGTCGCATAAAGCCGCTCTGAGCGTAATGTTCAAATTTGCCAGGAGACAAAAGTCAGCAATATCAAATTATCGATTTTGTAGTGGCATCAACACCATCTCTCCTGGTTATGTAAGAGTCGAAAATATAACAATTAATCTTGTTACACCTGAAACAACACTTGACTTCCATCGCGAGTGACCGTGGCATCGACTGAAGTGTAGTGTTGTGACCTAGCGGCCCCGACACGTTCCACAATTGAGAGAGCGGCATGGTTCGAATAACTTTAGTTGTGAAATTACACCACATATATATGCAAATACTACATGAAACGCTATTGTTGAAATTACTGCCATACAGTTTCAAATATGTTACAATGCATTGTTCAATCATATTTAGTGTTATCTCGTTCCAGGAACTTATTTTTTGGTGACTGGATTTTCCCCAAAGACGTTATTGGATTATGTCTTTGTTTCACATGGCCAAGTAATAATGTATCGCACAATGTTCACATTAAGTTTGAAACAATTTCGGTGTGTTTGTTTTCTAAATGGGGAAAACATTAAGTTGGGAATGATAAATAAAATGATTCACCACTCGTGCATATTTTTTTCGAAAATATATACTCGTCCCGTTAATCAGACATGCATCAACCAAGTCAGCGAGCCTGACCACCCGACCCCGTTAGTTGCCTGTTATGACAAGCACAGTCGCCTTTTACAGCAAGCATGGGTTGCTGAAGACCTATTCTGTCCCGGATCTCCACGGGTCGTAGCCCACGTAGTGAACACGAGAACAGCTGAAGATGAGCGATGAACGGATGAGGAGATAATTATATGTACGGTATACTTGTGTATACATACCACAAGGGCCATCAAGTATTGGTGCAGGTTACTGCGTTTGGACGAGCGCAGACTGCCTCGCCAATGTTATTTAATGCTCAAATCACTGGACCATTCTGGTCGCACCACATGGGCTACTCACATTAAGAATATTTTGTTTCAATTAGGTTTTGGATATGTATGGTTAACACAAGATGTTGGCAATGTGAAGGTATTTATTCATCTTTTTAAGCAAAGATTATTTGATAACCTTCAACAATCATGGTGTATTTCTATCAATAGTATATCTGATACCTTTTATTATAAACATTTTAAATCCCTGTTAAATGTAGAAAAATATCTTACACTCCCCATACACCCCGCCGTGATATTGCTGGAATATTGCTAAAAACGGCGTAAAACAATACTCAATCACTCACTCACTCACTCCCCATACCAGTAAATCTGAGAATATGTATGACTCATACACTGAACGATTATGTAAATATTGTATAGAAAATGGTATATCTTTTATTGAAGATGAATTTCATGTTTTACTTGTAAGTGAGCGTTATTCAGCCCTAAGAAATATGTATCTTAAACAGCATATCAAGTCTCAAACTGTAACATCTTTTACTGAAATTATTTCATCAGAAAACTTTGATGTTGTATATAACACATGTTTATATCTATATAAAGTCCAACGGCTAAGAGACATTTAAATCGACTTCTTCCTTGGCATGCGTAGTTCATGCAATCAACCATTGTCTGTATTATGGGCCTATGACCTTCTTACTGAATAAACTGTCTGTCTGTCTGTCTGTATATACTCAACCCCAGGAACATGACACGCCATCAACCAGGTTACCGGGCCACCCGACCCATTACGTCGGCGCCTACGACGATCACATGTTGCCGGGGACGTCTTCCATCACGGAATAACGCCTCCCGTTTGATATCTGTCGAAATACATTCGTTATACTAAAAGCAGGATCTAATGGGAACTCGTTTAGTAATCTATCTACTTAACTCGGTTATTTTTAGCCATTTGGACCAAAGCAAGAGGATTCGTCACGTCTTCGTGTGTTCAATATTGGAAATATCAACCGGGTCTCGGATAATCGATCTTTGCCTATTACAACGAGACGGGGTTGATATTTCCTATGTCCAAACACACAAGTGGGGAAGTCTATCATTTTCACCTTCGCGTTTCCCACTCTAGCGCTGCGACTGTCGTAAGTCATTGAGAAAGCCTGACAGTTACTATCGTCTTACCGCCATGACTATCGTAAGTCTTTGAAAAAGTGTGATAGTTACTATCGTCTTATCAAACAGACAGACTTTTTTTTCGTATAAGATGTCATGAAGCCTAGTGTACAATGTATGTATAACAGGTACAAAACATCAATGAGCGTCATTTGTTCTAAGCTTGAAAACTTAAGCTGTGTACAGAGATAAATTCAACAATGTATTTTCGTCGTTTGTGGTACACAAATAAACAATATTTTGTTGATATGGAAAAACATAATAATAGCTTGGTATATATTTTAACTTTTAATGCACGTGTTTTGAACAGAAAAACAAGCTATGATATTCATCTTCAAGACATTCACTACACTGTTAAAAAGGGCATCAACTGGATTTTTTAAATTTTAGAACGTGTATTTTTTTTAAATTTTGAGATCATAGTAACCTCTTCTAAACTGCGTGATGATAGATTGTTTATGCAATTTAGAAATAATTCCGGTTGGAGAGAGGTCTTGATGTTACAGTTTATTTCTAAAGTAGCACTTTTATTGATCCTGGATGTTCATTCGTGTACATTAGTATCTGACAATCTCCGAGTAACTACAGACATGAAAGCTTTAACATCACTAACTTCTTGCGCCACCCATTCAAAACCAAAGCCATACATAAACCCAGTTTATAGCCATTGTCATAGGTTTGCAACATAATGTTATACTTCTTGGTATACTGAGTCTGTGGTGATCTCCTTAACCTAATGGGTATCGACCACATTCTCCAAGGGCTGCGTTGTTTGAGGCTCTATATTCACTTTTTAGTGAGAATTTACAGAATTGTGTGTTAGTAATTTCAGTTGGTTTTCTAATTGTGCCACCCCAAATTTCCGGGCCATATAAAAGTACTGGCTGAATTTTGCAGTCAAAGATTTTGAAGGCCACCTGTATACATGTATCCGGAAACGTATCCCACATGCTTTACCACAGATCATACCTAAATATTATAATACGACACAACATTGGCCTGTTTACCATCGATATGCCATTTATTCATTTTTGGACACAATTTACTACCATACCTGACCCGCGAAGATCCGGGGTAGAAAAGGTCTTCAGCAACCCATGCTTGCCGTAAAAAGCGACTATGCTTGTCGTAAGAGGCGACTAACGGGATCGGGTGGTCAGGCTCGCTGACTTGGTAGATGCATGTCATCCATCCCAATTGCGTGGATGGATGTTCATGATGTCAATCACTGGATTGTCTGGTCCAGACTCGATTATCTACAGACCGCCGTCATATAGCTGGAATACTGCGGCGTTAAACAACAAAAAAACAAAAACAAAACAAAAATACTACCCTACCTCACTCTAGCGCTACGACTGTCGTAAGTCATTGATGAAATGTGATAGTTACGATCGTCTTAGCGCTACGACTGTCGTAAGTCATTGATGAAGTGTGATAGTTACTATGGTCTTAGCGCTATCTCTGTCGTAAGTCATTGATGAAGTGTTATAGTTACGATCGTCTTAGCGTTACGACTGACGTAAGTCATTGATGAAGTGTGATAGTTACGATCGTCTTAGCGCTACGACTTTCGTAAGTCATTGATGAAGTGTGATAGTTACGATCGTCTTAGAGTTACGACTGTCGTAAGTCATTGATAAAGTGTGATAGTTACTATCGTCTTAGCGCTACGACTGTCGTAAGTCATTGATAAAGTGTGATAGTTACTATCGTCTTAGCGCTACGACTTTCGTAAGTCATTGATGAAGTGTGATAGTTACTATCGTCTTAGCGTTACGACTGTCGTAAGTCATTTCGTATTTTTCTATAGCATTTGCCCGGTTTTGCATAACAATACATTCAAAGAAATAAAACATGACAGCTTGACCAAAGCGTATTGAAACAATCTCAATTACAATCAATGATGGAAGTATGCCTTGTCAACTTATGCAATTCGGCGAGCCCCTCCTGTGTTACTTGAAATGTTGACGGATAGTTATTAGTTAAAAATGATTCGTTTTGACAAAATAATGAAAAGGAAAGATAGTTATTTTTCGATAGATAACCAAAAAGAACATTTTCTATTGATATGCTTAAACTTGCAATTGACTTGGGGAGATACACAAATGTCCCATACACTGGACGATTATGTAAATATTGTATAGAAAATGGTTATATCTTTTATTGAAGATGAATTTCATGTTTTACTTTTATGGGAGCGTTATTCAGCCCTAAGAAATATGTATCTTAAACAGTGTATCAAGTTTCAAAATCTTTTACTGAAATTATTTCATCAGAAAACTTTGATGTTATATATAACACATGTTTATAGCTATATAAAGTCCAACGGCTAAGATAAACTTAAATCGACTACTTCCTTGGCATGCGCAGTTCATGCAATCAACCATTGTCTGTATTATGGGCCTATGACCTTCTTACTGAATAAACTGTCTGTCTGTCTGCTTACCGAGCTTTTCATTTTGTGTGACATCCAAGTTTCCCTGTCTCGCCAGATTGAGCTCACTTGGTTGCATTCCCAGAATATATGTACACCATCTTCTGTTTCATTAAAACAGTAGCTACTTCTTGTACCGTCTACGTATCTCCATTGTAAGAAGACAGTTTGTTGGCAACATATGATGTAAAATCTGATACTGGAACCAGTGCAGTTTAGTCATGTTCGTGCAACTAAACGGAACAGAATTGATATTCTTCAAGTCATTTCCCTCAATATCGTGGCCAAGTTAGTATTCCTATTTGTCAAAATGATTATTTCTCTTACAATATGAGTATTTATTGAGATACTGTGAACCTTTAATATTTGTTCAGATGATAAAATTATATGACATGGTAAGAGACAGGAGATTATAGGATAATGTCTAGTTTTGGTAATCGTTGACTTCGACAGTTCTGTTTTAAGTGTGAAACACGGTTTGAAAGGTTTCGAATGACCTGAATTGTCCCGCTATTTTCAATAAGATCATTTAGTAAACGTATCACTTTTACAAACCATTCTTTATTCACAAACTGGTATTTCCTATTTTTTATGTTCTCGTTGTACCATATATTTTGTAATAGGCTACCCTCATCATGTATACGCTCGACGTGGACATTTCCACCAGGCCTTAATAAGGTCCTTATGACCCCCGTAAGGCCTATACAAATTGTACTATATGCCTGAGGCCTTTCAGTATTTGTGAATAAAAGATTGATTGAAGATCGCTTTGGTATACATAACTCTAGCAGGTTCAATTCTGTCCAAACACTTGATGGTATAACTTTGTACACCACTATCCCACATGACAAACTTAAGGAAAAACTTCATTCCTTGATCCATTTGCTGCTGTTACATAACATGGTGACCATAGCTAAAGTTACATATCTTTCTTCAGGGGTTCGGGTAAATGTATCAAACATAAAAGAAATTGTCATCCGATGTTTACTGTGATAACAATATGTGAAATACTGAACTTCCTCATTGATAACATCTATGTACAATTTGGGGGTTGACATTTCGGTAAGAAGTAGGCATCCCATGGGCACTCGACCCTGGCTCAGAAGCTGCATGATTATGACTACACCATTCAAGGCCCCAGTAAAGCTTTTAAAACGTTTTGTGGTAGACATGTGGAGGACATTTCCAAATTTGACGCATCAGTGATAAAAATTATGTCCGATGCAATTCCCTATTTTCACTTGTCCCCGTGTTTTTCAGGTGAACGATTGACTTGACTTTTCATGTGTTTGTGACGGTTGCCACCGGGGCAGGATACGCTCACCTTTTCGCGAACGCCTAGTATCATGACGAATTGATATTGATTTATAAACACATGCTCCTGATATAGCCAGAATCATACATCCGACTCTGCTTTTGACAGAGATTTCTTTTGAATATGGAAAGGATTGGGTCGCTTTTATTTATTATCTTGGAATTTATTTGTAATCTTAATATCTTACGAGTAATTTCGAATGGATTATAGGGTCCATAACGAGGTATTTTTAAAATGAATAATGGACACCACTTTGACAGCAGTTTTGATGCTCTACGTACCACTGGTACATATTGCATATGTATTAAGTCTAACACGTTGGACAAGTTATACCTCCATCTGATGTTTCCCATACAATTTGACTTCTCTTTACGATATCGTGTTTTTCTTCCCAAATGAATAAGAAACACCTTTTTCAAAACAGTTTAGTATATGATGGATCGGGTAGAGCTGACAATAAATGCTTACATTATGGTAGATTTAGTGATTTTAACACGGTATTCTTCCCCAAGGGAGTTAAGTGTACTGATGACTAAGTACATATGAGTGTTTCACATTTTCAAAACTCATTCTCATAATTCAAGCCAGTCATTTCGTCGGGATCAGAACTGAATTTTATTCCAAGTAGATCGGACGGATCTTTCCTCCAATCCAGGTTCCATTCTCGGCATAGTTTTATTCTAGAGCGCGTTTTTGTTCCTACCCAGAGTATCCTTGTTTTGTCTTTATCAACTTTTGCGCCAGAATATTTACACTATGTCGCCTATCTGCCTGCCCTTGGGCGAAGTGAGGTCCATGGGCCTACCTATGGGCGAAAAGTGGCCCACGGGTAGGCCCATGGGCGAGAATATGTTCCTTTACTTAAAACTCATGTTTTTGTTTCGCAAATTAGCTTGATATAACTACAGGTAATACATAACGAAGCATACGTCACATAGCAACTGATTGATTAGCATGGATATGTTTTATTGAAAAACAATAAAAGTGAAACTTCTCTAAATAAATTAACACAAATATGATTCGTAGACAAAAATGATCCGTTTAACCGTAAAAACCTGTTGTTTATCGTAACCTGTCTTCATCGCTTCGTGAGCTAAACCATTTAACAAGTTCACTTTATACACATGTAAAAGGTAATTACCATATCATGACGTCCGGTTCCTACTTCAGCCAACTCTCTTGTGTCAGGTTTATGTTTCGGATAGCTGAGAACATGGGGAGAAAGGGCACTTATGCGTCCAGATTGATCAAGAAGGTATTTTTGTGTTTTTAATGTTCAAATCCTGCCATCCTACGACCAAGGTCATCAAATTAACTGTGCAGAATAACTCATAAATATTATATGGCAGTGTGATCTGTTGTTCAAAATGTTATAATTGTATTACATTGTTTCTGTTGAGATTCAGTAGAAATTCATAGCATTGTTCTTTGACAATAGTTAGTTGTCAGGAATGTATAACTCTCTGAGGTAAGCAGTGGTGTGGAAGTTCCTTTATTTAGATGCTTTTGGAGTCAATTGAAATTTGGAATCTTCTAGAATAGCTAGACTATCCCAGGACTGTGTACAATCTTACATGAGGTATTTAGACTATATAAGGGGGAAAGAATGTGGCTCCTCATCTCACATTATATCTCTCATTTTATCAAGACCAACGGTAGTTTGAAGATCCTTGTTTTCACTCTGGATATCCCGCATATGTCTACTTTGGGAGCATGACCACTGTTGTTGTGTGGTGACTATTATTACAACCGCTGTTATATGTTTTACTGTCATTGTAATTGTACTGCCAATGAGGCTCGCGAGGATCAATGTTACACTATTAGATGAAACCAAGAAACCAAGATGTGAGATGAGGCGAAATGGAGTTTTACGTCACGTTCAAGATCATTGGGTACCCTGTGCTCATTTATGGTGTGATATTGCTGGAATATTGCTTAAAGCGGCGTAAAACCATCCCCACACACTCAAGATTATTGGACCTGCAACGTACTACTCCACAATAATGCTGGTTTTATAGTATTAGACCCCTGACATACCATGCCACACAGTATACTGACTTCGTGCCGATCAGTCCCAGTTTTATCCCCAAAATACCTAGCACCAGACCAGGCAACGATAAGTAACATCTTTTGACGTCTTTCAGTATGACGCGGGCGGAAATCGAGCCACCGACCTTCCGCTCTCTGGGCAGAGCCTCTATCCACTAGGCCACGGAGGCAGTTGCTAACATGGGATGACTCATGTTCGACGTAGTTTTCCGAGCCTGGCATCTGAATGGATGAATGTCAACGTGAACTGTCATATAAACTAGAGCTACACCTACCTAATCACATATAAAAAGTCAGCGCCATTGAATAACAAGTCTCGATGACCTCGCGTAATTCAGTGTCATATTATACAGTGCTACGGGTGGTGACATATGGTGAGATCAATAAAGTGGTTGTGGCGTTTCTCGAATCTGTTCTGCCATGTGTGAATTTCAAGCGAATGATAACTTTGATTATGCACTCATCTCACATTCACGTAATTAAGTTAGTATCGGACAGCCAATTTGAAAAGAAATCTGATCAGACTGGTCAGAAAGATTTACTTGTCCCCAAGAGTCAAGTATGATCTACCTGATCGTGTGATTGAATTACCCTAACCGTTTTACATTTTGCCGCAAAAGTGGATTTTATAATGTGCGGCCACTAAATCTAAACGTGAGTCAATCTTCATTTACAGTACTCGAAAGGCCATAGGCACATAGTACATACATGCATACAGTAGCAATGGATGCAATAGGAATAAATATATCGGAAATAATATCACATCTATAATACAGAGGATCTGTTGTACATTGTATGGTATATATACACTCCAGGATATTGTATGACCTTGATTTTCAGATGACATGAGGATATAAAATGTGTCTATTCGAGAATTCAAGTAAAAATATTTCTTTATCTATTCTTTTCTGATATCTGCATATAAATGGTTAAAGAAGCAAAAAATGGTATTCATCTCATGACAAATACAGTATTTACACAATCGGATTTTCTTTGATATCTCTAAATGTCTACCTTTTTCTATTAGACGGTCGTGAGAACTACATCTGAAACAGGATAGCGCTGTTCAAAATGTCTTAATATTTATGACTAAAAGATATTTTTAGTAAGAATGAATACTTTAAAACACGAGTAATTGTTGTGTAAACATGGTGAAGAGTACCACTTTTGAAAATACATATTTTTTGGCCTTGGTCTTAAATTAAATATGAAATGATCTGACGCTGTTACCTGTTGTTCTATCCAAATGTCATCATACCAAGATTGGAGTTTCTTTCTGACAACCGATGCCCAGTTATGTTTACCTCCGCTATCGTAAAGAATCAACATGTTTTGGCATTTCTTTGGGATTCTTGTATTTGGCATTTTAAGCAATTTTATCTGATATTTTATTACTTTTATGTAACTAAATACCTACATATCGTATCTCCCACATTCTTCATAAACTGTAACATTTGGAGTGTTGGAATTTACGACTACAATCTTTTACACGCATGGAGATGTATCTTCTCTATTGTGTCATAGTTTTCTAGACCCCATACTTCAGCACAATAGAGTAGAATTTCAGTGTCGAAATCCTTAAAATAGTGTCAAAACTAATGTTTCCAACGGGTAAAATGACAATTAAAATCGTTTTGCTTGCAGTGCAGCTTTGTTGCAATGCAGCGAACAAGTTAGGCGATTTGTAATATGTACACCTAAATATTTGTAACTTCTCAACCTCAAGTATTTCACCTTTATAGAACCATTTGATGATTTCCCTCCCTTCTTTGAAAACTGTGAACTTTGTCTTATTAATATTGACATTCAATTTCTATTTATTACAATAGTATTTAAGTTCATTTATTAACTTTTGAAATCCAGGCACTGTGCTCGATAACAGAACTATTACATCAGCACAAATAAGTAAAAAAAAGTTAAACAGTTGGATGCCCCCTTTATAATTTTAATATATTTGTAGCGAAAGTTCATTTATGAAAAACGAAAACAGAAATGGAATTAGAATACATCCTTGTCTTCCCCAATATTACAATAGAAGGAATCAGACAAGGTGTTATTGTTTCGAACACAAACCTTCACATTGTGATATGTGCATCATAATGATCAACCAACTTTGGTACCGATACCTTGAGATTTACAAAGTGACCAGCGTGTTTCTGTTAACAGAGTCAAACGCTTTGACAAAATATACATATGTGGCATACATTTTTTCACCTTTTTGTGCCAAGTAGCTCTGTACAAGTGTAGGCAATAAAAATGCTTTATTAATTGTAGAAACCGGATCGTGCTTCATCTTCATACATGAGTCGACGCCATATGTGGCCCCTCGATTATACACGCATTATAAACATAATACAACTACTGAAAACATCAACTTCACTTCTAAAATGATGACAGCAATACCTTTGTTTTTCCTTTCACTGGAACTGTGAATAGTGGCGCTATTATTGGTTTGCTGAAATAGTATTTTCCGTGTGTGTTCTGTACATGAAGCCAGCAGTAATTGTACGAGGTAATTGACAACTAAGGAGGCTAAGTATCACCTGGTCTGCAACCCCAAAATATTCTGAAAAATGAGGATCCAAAGCCATTAACTAGTACACAAGATTGAATTTCGTTGCAAAAGGTTTGTATCTATCTTTTTATTGAAATTCCAAAGCTAAGTGTTTCGTCTATAAATTCCAAATTAATTGTATCAAATGCCTTTTCAAAATCTACAAGTAATAATAAACCTGGGATCTGATAGACATCGATGTAGTCCAGTAGATCACAGATTTGTCTTACTATTTCACCCAATGTATCCTTTTTGTTCCTCGTTGAACAGGAGGTTTAACGCAGAATGTTTATGACGCACTGGATAATTGAGGTCGCATATATAACTGCTTGTACACAAATGTGCTCGAATGCCCGGACGGAGGCTCCGGTAGTATTTATGCTGTTCACACCGTGTTCACATACATACAGGGTTCACATACTGATCATGTTCACATGGAGATCGTTTTCACAGACAAACAGTATTAACATAGGGACCATGCAATTCGTCACCACTCGCCCCTTTCCGTAACCTGCAAGAAGACTCGCTCCCTTATCGATGAATGTTATATGCGAAAATACGACAAACCAATCAAAATGCGCGTATGACTCCTGTTCTGTCAAAGAATCCCTCAGGAATAATTTTTGATTTTACATATATCTTGCATCTAAAATATACCCAAGATACAGTTAAATATGTTCAATCATACTGTAAAATACAACATGTCCCGATATGCTTTGAATATCATGTGAATTACATATAATATATGGGGAAATATACATGCCTTGCGCTTAGACGGAACCCGGTCGCAAAAATGGCCACGACAGGGTCACGAGTCGCTATTCGGCTTGTTCCGGAATAACACGAATGGAAACCTCACGCATCGATATCCTACGATGAGGAATCGGCTGTAAACAAATGCTTACAGGATCCATATCAGCATAAATATAATTGACAGCCTGAACGTTCCTAAAGCTCTCGGGTCTTGCATTCGTCATCTTAATACAAGAAAGTATATCTATAGATCCTACGCCGCGCTCTCGGCAGTTTGGTGTACTGATTGCTAATATGTACACCGCACAGATATCTATCTTAATTATACCTCCTATCCGAGAGAGGAGTTATGTTACTCTAGGGTTACGCTGTATCGCTGTATCTTCGTCAAGGGCACTCCTTGTATACTGAACAAAACAAGTTAGGAAACGTGAGTATGTTTGGGGACATTTTATCAAATTGTGTTTTTTGTC